TTTTCACATTTCAACTTGGAACAAAGGCTCATTTTTACGGAAGAACAATCTTACATGGAGGATCCAAATATCGAGCAACGGGTCGTGGGTTTGTTGTTTTTCATGCAAAATTCGGTGATAATTACCGGCTTTATTCACGAAGTCACTTTGTGAAAGGGCTGGAGCTCTTTATACTGTTGATCGTCTATGAAGTTTATGGGGAGTCATACCGCAGTTCAAATCTCTACTTGTTCATCACTTTCTCTATGTGGTTTTTGGTTGCTTCGTGGTTGTTTGCACCGTTCATATTCAATCCATCTGGTTTTGACTGGCAAAAGACAGTAGATGATTGGGCAGACTGGAAGAGATGGATGGGAAATCGTGGCGGAATTGGGATTCAACCTGATAAAAGTTGGGAATCATGGTGGGAGGAAGAACAGGAACACCTGAAGTATACAAACATAAGGGGAAGAATCCTTGAGATAATACTTGCATTTCGCTTCTTTATTTACCAGTATGGAATTGTTTACCATCTTGAAATAGTTCGCCACAGCAAGAGTATACTGGTAATCTATAAAATTCATTGCGAATTTCTCTTTTCTCCGTCTGTTGCTGAATTGTTCTCACAGGATCATTCTCTAAGGCTCTTCTTTACTTGCGTAGATTTATGGAATTTCCTGGGTGGTGTTGCTAGCCGCTCTGCTGGTTTTAAAGGTATGCAGATACGATATATGGAGGTTTTGTTCCTAGATCTGCATGTTAGCCACACGCATTATTCTGAGCAAAGTCCAGTTGACCATTATTATTTTCTGCTGCTTTTCTGTTACCTTATCTTAAATCAAACTGCAACAAACGTGTTCTCCTTGCAAATTATTATGCCCTCGATGTTTTCAGATGGTATCCATGGGAAGACGAAGATTCGGTACAGACTTCCAGCTCATGTTCAGGATCCTGAAAGCACTTCTTTTCCTTGGATTCGTGTCGGTTATGACAGTCTTATTCGTCGTGTGTGGACTCATTGTATCTGATATATTTGCTGCTGTCCTTGCGTTTTTACCGACCGGCTGGGCTCTTATTCTGGTAAGTCTGGACTAGTGCAAGTTTAAAAGAAGCTTTTATTTATCAAGTGGGTTGTTTTCAACTTGCCCGAGTCGAAACTACCTAATTTTGCACAAAGCACTCGTCACGTTCATATTGTGATTAGTCCCACATAAATATTTGAGCACCCATTACCTCTCCAACGTGCTTTTTACTGTACCGTGAAACTAACGAGATCGATCTTTCTCTTGTTCTTGACAGATTGGGCAAGCGTGCAGGCCGTTGCTTAAAGTGTTAGGACTCCGGGATTCGTTAAAGGAGCTGGCGAGGGCGTACGAATACACCATGGGGTTGCTACTGTTCATGCCGATAGCCGTCCTGTCGTGGTTCCCGTTTGTTTCGGAATTCCAAACCCGCCTCCTCTTCAACCAGGCATTCAGCAGAGGCCTTCAGATTTCGATGATTCTCTCCGGAAGGAAAGAGAAGACAGCATGAGGCCCCTGACCCCCCTTCATCAGGATGTGATTTTCCCCCTCCTTTATTATGCATGAACTTGCACAGAGGCTTAGGTTTCTTGATCAGCCTCTCTAACACTTACAGTGGCATCAAGATGGTCTTTTCACTGTTTATACTTACACCCAGACACCTCTTTTCTTCCCCAGTTCTTCTGTTAAATGCTGTATGTTTTTAGCAAGATTCTTTTTGTTCCGTCGGATTTGATTTTTTGAACTTTGAAATATCAAGAAGGTTCGTATTATGCACGTTTTGCGGTCCATAGTTTGTTCAATTCTGTCATGATCTTATTTCTTTCGAATTCGAATTGACATCGATTAATTTCGGACGCCCAAATTTTCCACACTTGTGATTTTCTCAAGATTGTCGAATTCCCATGCGCACAAATTCATAGATCATAACATATACCCTCTGGATCCGTCATTAGTTATGTCGATTAGATCTATTTATAAATAAGTTAAAAACTCGAGAACAATGTCCACGTAAGTTTTGTGTAAGTGGCCATTTATCAATGATAAATGAATCCTTAAACATCCCAAAAAGCCATCGTGCATTGTTATCTAAATTTATTTACGGGTAATTTACTTGGCATCTTGAGCTCAAAAACAAGCCAATGAAATTTCGGGGTTCCTGTTATCGACTAAAGTCAGCTCTTACAAAATCGTTAAGGAAGCCATTGCAATTTTGTAAAATTTAAGGTAAATCATTAAAAAGAGTCATTGCAATTTTTTTTGTAAAAATTAAGATATCGATCGCGTATGCGTGTTATTGATTCGAATAGTTTTATTATTTGCATATTTACTAATTACAGGAGGAAGTTATTAATCGAAATTACCAATTAAGCAGACAAATTAGTCTGATATTTATTTCCTTACGTAGATAGGTGTCATAAATATGCATTGATTGAAATTCTTCAGCCCGCTCCCGCTTTTGCTCTCCGTCTACTCCCGTCATCCCCTGTCCCTCGCTCCGATCGCCGGAGACGCCACGCCGCCACCGACCTCCGCCCGCGCGCGCGCCGCCCTCGGGGACACCTCCATAGCTCTTCTACGCAAAGGGGGGCGGCACCGCGAAGTGAGAGAAGCTCCGACTGATTTTCCTCGTCAATCTCCTACGTTGTTTGGGCCGTCTCGGTACGCACTTTAGCAGTCTCTGTTTGGTTTTTTTTTTTTTTCGGTCTCCTCATGTTTTCCTCCTGCTCTTCGGTTTTGTTTCGGGATAGTTTTTTTTTTTTTTTTTTGTGGGGTTTAAGGTTCGATCCGAGCGTAGAACCCTAATCGAGGTAGTAAATCTGTGAACTTGAGACCATTCTGGTAGCGAATTGATGAGGTCGTGGAATCAATTTAGAGGGCGCGTTCATCACTCGCGCGCCTTGCCTTGGTCTGGAGTCTGAGAGAAAGAAGAAGAAGAAGATGGGTGAACGAAAGGTGTTGAGCACGTATTACCCGCCAGATTTTGATGCTTCCGATGAGCATCCGATGCAACACCTGCGGGAATTGCATCTACGAGGGGACCGAGTTCGATTCCAGGGAGGAGGTTGTCGTCGTCGTCGGCGAGAGGTGTCTGGGGTTTCGGATATTCGGATTTTACTTCAAATGCGCCAAGTGCTCTGCTGAGCTCACGATCGGAACCGGTCCGCAGAATTCGGGTTATGTTGTGGAGTTAGGGGCGACGAGAAATTTGAGAGCCCTGGCGTAAGCAGGATGAGTTGGCGGAGGATGAGAAAAGAAAGAGGGAGGTTGAAGAGATGGGCGGCGCGATGGAGTGCTCAGAGAATAAGATGCTGGATTCGACGAGAGAGATGGATATTCTTGCCGGACTTGATGAATTGAAATCAATGAAGTCTAGACATGCCATTGTGGACGTAGATGCAATGTTGGAGGTTCTACAACGTAAATCTGCTGCAAAGGAAAAGAAGCTGGAGGAAGAGGATGAAGCGCTTCTCAAATCAAGTGTATTCCATGTAAATATTTATTTGTAGGATCGAAGATGAAGATTCTGAGGATGAGGAAGATTTGACTCGACCTTCTGCTAGTAATGACAAATCAGTGAAAAATACTCTCAAGAGGAGAAAACTTTGTGAGGAATTTTCGGACAAGCCAACAGAGTCATTGAGAAAAGCTACTTCCTCTGTGCCAATTGTTGTGGTAAAGAAAGCTGCTCCAGCCTATGACATTAGTGCTAAAATTGACATGACTAAACAAGATGGAGCAGATAAGAATGGTGTACTGAGCATTGGGCTACGGTCACTACTTCAAAAACTATGGAAGTAGTGATGATGATGATGATTGAGCTATGGTTTAGTTGCAAATGGTATTATTCATTTTCTAGCTGTATTAGGAGACAACTTTTTGATTCTATCTCAATTGTAATTTCTGACTGAAGATAGATACATGCGAAGTATTTTTGATGGAATTTTTTTTTTGTCTAATCCAAAAGCTTTAGTTGATAGATAATTGCGTTGTTTAATATTTATATATTGTAACTTAGGCCTAATTGGGGAAGCAAATAGGGGGTTTGGAAAGATTTGAGCTCGTTCTGATACCATGTAGAAAGTCTAATCCGAAAGTTTAAACCGTTAGATAAAAGCTAATATTTAAATATTCGAACAACGTGTATGCAAAAATGCAAAGATGTTCCAAAAATTTGAGCATAAAAGCCAGAAACTTGTTGATAGTAAATTCTAAAATGATTTCACCAGTCCTATGAAAAGTTCTAGTCCCATCTAGAGTTTGAGAGGTTTTTCGACTTTATAATTACGCTGGCTTTTTTCTTTAATTGTCAACACCGAACACTCCTTTTAAAGAGTTTGGCTCAAATGGTTATACGTTGTGTCATTTATAGATGGAATTAGAGCTGAGGACTTTTGGCGTGTTTATGCAACTGAATGGTACTGTTGTGCAATGTTACTTGCCTTACAGATTGTGCTGTTGCGCAATGTTACTTGGCTTACTGACCCTTTCAGTCTGTGTATTGTGGTTTCCTATTCTGCCATCTCTCTCTCTCTCTCTCTCTCTCTCTCTCTCTCTCTCTCTCTCTCTCTCTCTCTCTCTCTCTCTCTCTCTCTGGATATATGGTGATTATGGCCATATTAGGCAGGTTTTGCCTCACTTGATGATGCAGTTCCGGCTTGTGTTGCAGATTCTTTGTCAGGGGATGTCAAACATATTGGGAATCTAGCTGCTAGATATAGAATCCGACATTGCTATAATGTCGAAGATAAGTAAACAAAGGTACGTATTGATTTGGCAACTTCATCCATATTTTATTCTGAAGCAGGCCCAGATTACCCGTCACAGGGTGCGATATACCCACCTTTGATTGTTTATTGTTCTGAATCACGACACATATCTTGCTTCTGGAGATGCAGTTTTTGTGAATATTAATTTAAAAATGTATTCATATTAATTTATTGTTGACGCAGCAAGTCTAATCACCAAAGTAGTAGCAACACATCGAAAGTGCAAGGGATGGCACTGCCTCGTAACTCGCAGCAGCTGGAAAGTAAGCAAGGTCAAAGCGGGCAGATCCAAAGTGTAATTAGTGGAAGCTTGATAAAAAGTCTGACAGTCTTGGATGAATTCAAGCATGGATTTCCTTCGAATGGCTTGTCAGTTGCCTCAAATAAGTGGTGGGGAAGTGGCAATCCAGGAGATTTTGATTACATAGATGCAACTGAAACTGGTAGAGAATGCAGACCGAAGTGCCAAGATATGGCAGATGGTGGTTCCAATGCTGAAAAGAAACCTGAAGGTGAGAAAGAGAACAGCGATTCCACTCTCCGGGGGGCTAGTTTGCTGACAGCTGTGAGAAAAAGAGCCCTTGAAGAAGGACGAGAGGCATTCAAGCTGGGCGTTTTTAGGAGCCACCGTGCTCAAAAGATAGGCAAGAAAGAGAAATCGCTGATGCTTGGCATTTTTCAATCTTCACAGCCAAAGGGATGGATAGATGATTAAGTTTAACCTGAGGGATGCTCAAAAACTGTAATTCAAGTGATTGACTTGTTAATTACTGCAGTCGGAGATAAAATGCTCGAATGAAATGTTGCTCATTTGTCTCTAATTGTCTGAGTCTCGAGTGTTGAGGTACTCCACTCACTAGGATGTTCTTTTCATATGTATTTAGCAGAAGACATGCAGCCTGAGCTAGGACACTCATATTTAAGACATTATCGACGTGGATGGCTACACACCTCATGAGTGGAAAGCACATCACCTGCTATGTCATTTCGATGCTCGGGATGATGACTTATGATATGGAAGCAAAATCATAAACCCCATCAAAACCCAAAATTTACGTGTGATGTGAAGTTGAACAATGCTGTTCCTGATTGATGCCATCTTTGTTATGTTCCTTTCAGTTGATTGCCTGTGAGATATGTCACTTGGTAATTGTGGCAATTTAATAGGCAGTTGACATGAGATAAAGTAGAAGACTGAGCTCAGCCTCTAACAGGAGACAGTTAAAACAGTCCGCGGCAATAAGTTTTAGACATGTATTATTTCACTGAACTACCAAACCCACAAATCTAACTGAGGACAGATTCTCGCCCTACAAACTGAGTCCATGTAAGAAATTTATTAATCTCCTAAATTGACTCTATTCTCTAGGCTATCCATTCCTATATCCACGTGGGTGAATCCTGTTGGATAAGGGAAGAGCCTTCTATATCCAGACATTTTCTTTCAATGGTGAATGAAGAAACTACCAAGCTTATTGGTGGAGAAGAGAAGGCCAACTGGAAAGATGTGAAGCCAGAATCATGCGCATCAGTATCACCAATGAGAAATCAGATAGAAATTTCTTAGAAGATAGAGACCGGACCCCGCTCTTATAGAAATACCCCATCAACATTCCTCATCTCCAAACAATCCCAAAAGCCAAAACTCATCTCCAACATTCACTCATCTCCAACGTTGTGACCTGCAATGGCTGCCTCTGCAATGGCTTTATCCTCTCCTTCGCTCGCTGGCCAAGCCGTCAAGCTTGCACCCTCTGCTTCGGACCATCTCGGCAAAGGACGAGTTAGCATGCGCAAAACCGTGGCCAAAACGAAGCCCGTTGCCTCCGCTAGCCCGTGGTATGGGCCGGACCGCGTCAAGTACCTGGGCCCATTCTCTGGCGAGGCGCCATCCTACCTCACTGGCGAGTTTCCCGGCGACTACGGATGGGATACCGCGGGCCTGTCGGCTGACCCAGAGACCTTTGCCAAGAACCGCGAGCTCGAGGTCATCCATGCAAGGTGGGCCATGCTCGGCGCCCTCGGGTGCGTCTTCCCCGAGCTCTTGTCCCGCAATGGGGTCAAGTTCGGCGAGGCGGTTTGGTTTAAGGCTGGTGCACAGATATTCAGCGAGGGCGGATTGGACACTACTTGGGAAACTCGAGCCTGATCCACGCGTAGAGCGTCTTGGCCATCTAGGCCACACAGGTGATCCTAATGGGTGCGGTGGAAGGATACAGGGTTGCCGGGGGCCCTCTCGGAGAGGTGACCGACCCGATCTACCCGGGCGGGAGCTTCGACCCGTTGGGCCTCGCGGACGATCCCGAGGTTTTCGCGGAGCTGAAGGTGAAGGAGATAAAAAAACGGGAGGTTGGCCATGTTCTCCATGTTCGGCTTCTTTGTCCAGGCCATCGTGACAGGGAAAGGCCCATTGGAGAACTTGGCTGATCACCTTGCTGACCCCGTCAACAACAATGCCTGGGCTTTCGCCACCAACTTTGTGCCCGGAAAGTGAAGTGTGCGATAGATTTAACACAGAAAAAATGTGCGGGACTTGGTGTGATCGAATTACATTTGTTTTTAACTTTTTGATGGTAATTGAATTTGAGGTAGTTCTTGACAATCTCAGTGACCAGTGGCCAAATCTTTAAGTCTCCTGGCAATAGTTTAACTCTTGAACCTTGAGAATTGAATGGGATTTATCGATACTTTTCAAGAAAGTATTAATTTCCATAGAAATGGTAAATCTTAAGTACTATGAGTACTAGACATCTTCATCAAATGAGTATGATTAATAATGAAATAAATGGAGATTTTGCTTGGGCAAAAAATAGATACAAGTAATAACAGGCTGCATTAGCAACTCTATGCAAGAATAACTTTTTGCGAGTCACGAGTCTATCTTCATCAAATGAGAAAGCTTGGCCCAAATTGCTAGAGTTTCACGCGATTAGATCCGGATTTATAGTTTTCGAGGAAGATTTAATTTTCCATAAAAATCATAAATCTAGAAGATTAGGAGCACTTGCCATCTTCATCAATATGAGTGTGATTGCAATGACAAGGACTATACTAACTATAATGTTTGCATATTAATTTATCGTTGATGCAGCAACTTCTCGAAACTTCTATTTATTATTTTTGACTTCTCCATCAAAATAAAATGATTATGTTAAGTATTGAATTACGAAATAATCTTGTATGAATTTAAATCACATCAAATGTTAATACTTATATGAAGTGTTCACTATTAAATAAAGTAGAATTTAAAACTCTAATGCAAAAGTTAGAAATCAAAGCTAGTAGCAAAAGTCATTTCAAATGGACCCAAGCATTAAAAGACTATGTGCACGTACTTGATATTTATGACGTACAAAAACACACAACCATCAATTAATGTCGCGACATCATAAGGCGATAGAACACCTTCGTCCTCTGTAAAAACATTTATGAAAGAACTATGTGAACATTGAGATTAACCTATGGTAGATGCGACCATCTATGACTAAGCATTCAATAAATCGAGTCATATTCACATTCAACACATTAACACATTAATTTACCGATTTTATATGCATTTTGATAACATGCCGATACTTGAGATCGAGACCGTGCGGCAACTTAGGCTTCCTTTGGTAAAAAAGATTGATTGCTCGCTTACTAACTCACCTAGACTTTAGAGAGAGAAGGTCTAGGGGAGAATTTATTTCGATTGCTTGAATGTTAGATGATACAAATGAGGAGGAGGGCATCCTTACTTATACATTAGACCTTCCAAGTATTACCGTTGATCATCCCTTGATTAAACGGTGGAGATCTACTCTCCTCAACTAATGTCTACCTATTAAATACAAAACTACCATATATCCCATTATATATAAGAAATATCTTGAATTCAAATAGACACTTCCCATATTAGGAGTATTCTAGAATCCTCATGAAAATCGTAGAGCCCAAGACATTTCAAGTCTTGCTGATCATTTGAACCATCTCTTCAGTCGCTCGGGTTTTGAAACCTCTGCTCCGTGACTTATGCATGTAAAGTGCATGTCTTGTTGGAATACCCTTATCGTATTTAAAGCATTGTGGATGATCTAATTGTCTAAAGAATCTGGTGTACTTAAACCAAGCCTCTTGTTTTGGCATGAAATTGAACATTGGCTCGAGAAAGCGCTTGGGTTTGATCTTTTACGTTAGCTCAATCAAACAGCAGCTCGAGCTTACATGTGATCAATCTTTTATCACGAGAGTTTTTTTATGGAATAGACGTGCTCATCTTCCTCATTTAAGATTTGAGTTATAGTCACCGCACTTGTATAATCTCTTAGACTCACCTAAAAATACAAACCTTTGTCTCATCTAATTATCTAGTGTATGCGAAACAAAGGTATTGCAGTAACATATGTTAATTAGTTGAGTGATCTAAGAATTCCAAACATCCTTTGAGAGAGAGAGAGATCGTGACAATAGCTTTTATATGTTCCTTTTGTCTTGATCCCTTCTAGTTTCCGAAGATACAGTAAGAGAAGACAATGGTGAAAATCATGCCTCCATGTTCTTGATAATTGATGGGACTGATCTGTGAAACCTTTTAAGACGTGTAAAACAACCTGTCGCCTATTACCCTAACACTACAAACCATACCTAACTGTCCCCAAACAAAGAGTCTTCCCCTTAAAAAAAAAAAACTAAACCCCCTCCCTAATTGGCCTAATTGTGCCCTGCCAAAGACAATGTTTTACTGCATGTCTCAGATACCAGTCACCACCATCATCAACTTGAGTGATTACGATCTGTTATCCTGACAATTAACAACTAAGCCTTTTTTATAACGGCGTGGGTGTGGTGGGGGAACATTGGAATGACACTCTCAGACCATCTGTTGCAAAGCATGTAATGTTGGAGCATCTCATTGGACCATCAATACAGACGCTGAGAAACCAACAGAATAACAAATTCCTACCAAGCATATTATAATGCCTGAAAGATCTAATTGTTTCTCTTTGGAGTCATGCTGATGACACCCTCCAAGTGAGGAAAGAATGAAAAGGCCGATTGTAGAAACAGCATCGGTTTGTTCAGGAAATAGAATGAACTGGCTATCAATATTTTAATGGTAGCTGAGCCTCCAACTTGGAAGCATTATATAATTTGTATATATTAGTGTGTGCAAGTGACAATATGAGGCTCAGAAAAGCATTGTCCTTCTGGTGTTTAAATTAATTGGCATTGGATGCTCTCTGAGAGTTCCAGTTCTGCCCTATCCATTTTCTGTCAAACCATTTAACTGAGAGAATGATGCTTACAGAATCATTTCCTTCAACTCCAAATCATTCTTTTATCTCTCAAATATCTCAGTACAGCTGTGCGTCCTTCTCTCTATCCATTCAAAAGGAACTTTGATTTTCTTTGATTGGCAGGTTTTTTATATGTACCGAGCATTTCCTTATCGCTCCTGACTTGACATAAGTGAGTCTTTTTCTTTTTCTGGCATATAATTTCTTCTCTTTTAGGATTAACTGGCCTGGAGGAAACAAATATAAATGTTACTTTCTTTCTAATTTCTATGAGCATAGAGAATGCGTTTAGTTTATTAAATAGATGAACATCTCTTTCTAATAAGTGTCTCTATAAACGAATCTATTGTTTTGACTATGTTTCTCTTGTACAACCCACAGGCTAAAGAGTTGTCATTCATGAATAAACTTCGAGGAGAAATTATCAGCATACAATTTG